TCCTCATAAGCAAGTTTGAAACTATTCTTTTGGTTTGGGTTTTCCTGCATGTTCCTAGAACTGTTCCCTTGTCTAAGGGGATGTAGGATGTTTCCCCCTTTTTTATAAGAAAAAATACATTCATAAGATAAAATAAAGTAGCATCAAAGCAATTATAATATAAGCCCATGCACGGCTCTTTTCTTTTTCTAAACGAGGTGTAAAACCTACGTACTGCTGCACACTTACATTTTAGAAGCACACATTTCTATACCTGGCAATTACAAACAATTTTTAATACCCTCCTGATGTAACGCTGACTTAAAGTATAACTATGATTTCTAAAAAAATAAAAATGAAAATAACAAATATCGGTGCGGGCGGGTGGGGACGAGAATCACGTAATTTTTGTAACTTGGCCTTATTACATTCAGAGCAGCTTACACAGAATCTATTGATATCAGTTACACTAAAGTATATATCTGGTTCAACATAATAGATGTAAATGTAAAGTATGCTGGATTGTTTTGATCCTCAAACTTATAATTCTATGACATGAAGATACACATAGCACCAGAGGCGGCGCTCCTGGGTAGGGCAAGGGGGGCAGGGGGCACAGTGCACCCACTCTTTCTAGTACCCCCAAATTGCCCCTTTAACTTTGTAAGCAGTCCCCCTTTTAACATAGGACAAGTGTCCCTTTTACTTTGAAACATGCCCCTATTAATTTGTTAAAGTGCCCCTTCCCCTTTTCACCTCTGATAAGTGCCCCTTTTATTTTGACACATATCCCTTTTATTTTGACAAGTTTCCATTTACGATTGCAATAAGTATCCATTTTCCATTCTCATAAGTGCCCTTTTTAATCTATAGTAAGTTCCCCTTTTCAGGTACGAGAAGTGCCCCTTTTCACCATTGATAAGTGCACCCTTCACGTCTGATAATTACCCTATTCAAATCTTAGAGGTGCCCCTTTCCTTTGTAAGAATTTCCCATGCCCTTTTTAATAATTAACCGTTTTTAAACTCGGATAAGCACACCTAATATTTTCTCATGTGCCCCCTTTCCTTTCTGATAAGTGCCCCTTTTCCTTTTGATGAGTGCCCTCATTTGAAAAAAGAGACCAGTTCCCCTTTTCACAAAATCCCCTTTTCACCTATGAAAAGTGTCTCTTTTCATTCTCATAAGAGCCCCTTTCCATTTCTGTTTCTGGTAAATGACCCTTTGCAGGTACGAGAAAATACCCCTTTTCACTTCAGATAAGTGCCCCCTTCACCTTCGATGATTGCCCCATTTCAAATGTGAGAGATACTCATTTAACTTTGAAAATTGCCCTACCACTTGATAAGTGCTCTTTTCATCTCTAATGAGCGTCCCTTTTCATCTTAATCATTTCCCCCTTTTATATTGAGACGTGTCCTTTCCCCTTATCATAATTACCCCTTTTCATCTATGATAAGTGCCCCGTTTATTTTAACATGTGCCTCTTTTTCTTCTTATTAATAAGAGCCAATTCCCCCTTCACATAAAAGCACCCTTTCACCTCCGATAAATGCCCCTATTAAAATCTGATCGGTGCCTCTTTTCTTTCAACAAATGCACATTTTCCTTTATGATAAGTGCCCCTTTTCATTCTCATAAGTGCCCCTTTTCATTCTCATAAGTGCCCCTTTTCATATCTGGTAAGTGCCCCATTTCACCTCTGATAATGACCTTTTAACAATGATACGTGCCCCTTTTCCATTCTAATAAGGGACCTATCCCCTTTTCGCCTCTTATAAATGTCCCTCTAAAAATCTGATGGTTGCCCCTCTTCCGTCGACAAACGCCTATTGCTCATTCTCATAAGTGCACTTTTTCATCCCTGGTGTTTGCCTCTTATTTGAGGTGTAAGAAGTGCCACATTTGCACCTCTGATAATAACCCTTTGTACTTTGTGACGTGCTTCTTTTCTTTTCTAATAAGTGTCTTATCCCCCTTTTTTCATCATTAAAAGTGCCCCTAATTTCAAGCGACTAGAAGCAATTTCCCCCAAAGCTCGTTCGCTACGCTCGCTAGCATTTATAGATGATATAATTATGTTACTTATCAAAGGTCTTTTCAGTCTTCCGTTATGAGAATGTGCTTATAACCCCATCAGAATTGGGTTTTTTTCCTCTTTAAAAGATTTAATTTTCGCCTGCGACCTCACAAATCTTCACATTTTTCAGACCATCACACCCAACTGCAAAGTATGATGGTTAAGCAATATCTTATATCACGTATAAATAGAAAGAAATATTGAAATCATCCCTGATAATGTTACCACAATGTAAGGGTATATACCAATGTCTAAAAATGTTTATATTTTCGCTTCGAGATTTCCCTTTGAGTTCGCAAATCAATTTATAAAAATACTGTCTAAGATTTCCAGGAAAACTTATCAAACTTTTACCAACTAACTTTCTTGTTCAATTCTTAACAATGGCATCAACCTGAAGTTGAAAAATATTACAATAACAATTCATTTTATAAGACGGGGCCCAGTTCTGTTTAAAATAAACTTTTATTTCTTTATGAAAATTATCTTTCAATGCCTTAAAAATGTTATTATGTATTCTGAACTGAATAAATATATAAAAGAAATGAAATGAAATATTAAAAAACCAAAATACATTCCTTGACCGACAAATTAAAGTTGTCTTTTCCTTATGAAGCTTAATATATATATATGATTTATTGAAATCAAAACACATCAAAAACCAAGAGCAAACAGTCCGAAGACTGACACCTGTCTTGGCTACAAAATAAATTTTAAATCAAATGTTCATAATAAAATATCATTAGCGAATACATAAGTTAAAATATCCAATAACTAAACTATCATCACTAAATATTGCAATAACATATAAACAATAACAACAAAAGTATACATCATTACAATTACATCAATAGAGGACTCTCGAGCTGTGTAATAACTATATCCCCCGTGGCGCATTCTTTGAGCAAGAGATGGCAACGCATATTCAGAAACTGTTCAATGTATATTCTAAAAACATACGATTTGATGTATGTACGTTACATTCTACATAAGAGAAATGTTGAACATCGAATTTCTATTTTGTTTTAATGGATGGAAAGTTTGTATTCTCTTTTTTTTGCAAGGAAATACTCAGTTTCTTTTTGTGTCTTGACAAATGATTTAAATGCAATCTTAGTTGGTAAACTACTCTTGAAATTACTAGTGTATATAACATATTTTAAGAGCAGGATTAAATATGACAAGAATTTTGTCAGAAGGGGCACCAAAAAGCTTTTCAAAATTGGTTAAATTAAAATTTGAATCAACTTTGAGGTGAATTAAGGTTAACACTTCATTCCAAAGTAGTGTTACCTTCTCACATTCACAAAATTGATTTTATACAAAAATGCATTCAAAGCAATAGCTTTATGAAAAAAATTGTGAAATAAAAGGAACGTAGACGAGTATCTATGGTACAACAAAAAGCCTCTGTTACATTTGCCCCGTGTATTATTATCCCCGGTCTCCCCTACATAGTTTATGGGGAAATGTTTATTTTGGTCGCGTGCCCCCCCCCCCCAAGGTGCAGTACCCATGGTATCCTTTGTTCGAAATTATATAAACTTGGAACAAAAAAGAAGGAGGGGGTGGATTCTGCCCCCACCCTTTTATGGTTATTATGGGGCGAAGGGGGAGGAGAGTCGCGGAGGGGGAGCGATGGTAGTGAGGTTTTTTTTTTTTTTTTTTTTGGGGGGGGGGACTCAGGCCCTCGGGCCCCCCGGCCCGGGGTTGGGGGGGGGGGGGGGGAGGGTACCTAGATTTAGTTCGGCCGAGGGTGTGCCGCTCAAGCCTGGAATATCTATCTAGATCTCTATGATGTATACACACACGCATACACACACACACACACACACGCACGCACACCCACATACATACACACACACCCACGCACACACTCAATCACTCTTCAATCTCTACCTATCATATTTCTCTTCTTGCTTTACTTTTGCCATGAACCCCCTATATTATATATTTTGTTTGCTTGTATCTAAATTAAGGGGATAACCTAGATAGGTATTTCTACTTTTGTTATTCCTCCACTTAATTGATTAGACATGTATCGTTTTGTACACTTTTATTTTATGTTGGGTGGAAATAAATTCAATTCAAAATTCAATTCAGTTCAATATTATTTGTCAGGGGTCACACTTAATTAAGGCATCAAGCTTTGCTTATCTTGGAGCCTTGGCAATTTCTGTATGAACAAGTTTATTTCTCTTTATATGTCTTTCAATTATATTGATTTTATATCATGTATTCAGAACTGAATAAATAAATGAAATTAAGTATTAAAATTGAAATAATTTTCATGACCTACAAATTAAAGTTGTCTTATTGTAATGAAGCTTATCATGAACAATATAAAGCTAGGCTACGACCAACATAGATTATTTTATAGAACAAATCAATAGACTAAGGACAAATTATAGAATTGTAATAGTGGATTGCTTTTAAGAAATCCAAACGTAAAAAAGTTTGAAACCCCACCCGGGTCTACCCGTATGTGAAGCCGGATATATTCTCAAAGTCGCAAGCTTCGGCATTGATCATTTTGTCAGGCCAAGTCGGAGGCAAGATCGTATGCGGGTTGTTTGCTGATGGATGGCTGGCGCCGCGGTAAAGGGGGAACTTAAACAAAAATAAAAACCAATATTTTGTCGAGGTCATAAGTGTATCCATCATTATTTTGATAATCTATGATCAAAATAAATCTTCATTACATTGACCTATATACCTCATTTACCTTCAACTCAGTCATTTAAAAAAAAAAAAAAAAAAGATCCGCCCATATATCTTTATTTCTTTTTCTCCTTGAATAAAAAGTCTCTAAAATCAAAACAAAGTTATCAGTTATCAAAACGTCTGGCCAGCCCCAGCGGTCCTATCAATCATTACACACGAACAAAAATGATCAAAGAGACGCAGATGAGGAAAGTGGCGAGGAATATTCCATAAAAGGGAAGCCATAATCGGTTCGAGTCATCAATTCAGGAGCTCATCTCACCCGCAACAAGCTGATTTCAGAACCTTTTCACCAGATTGGTAAGCATCTATTTTCTACTAATTACAGAAATTTCTTCCCAACCGATTTTTCGATAATATGTATTATGGCTCATTTCTAAATCTTGTTTCGTTCAAATGGCATATGACTCCTTTTTTTTTTCTTTTTTATTGTTCACCAATATGATGCATAATATATTCTGCAATCTGCCTTATAGGTTTATTTATTTTTAATTTATATCTTTAATGTATAATGTTTACGCTTGATTCGTTATGTTTCCCACTGTATATTATAATGATGATATTATTTGTCTTCGGACTACAATCGTGTATCAGTGTATGAAGATATCAATCATGTAGATGTGATGTGGTCCTGTGGATGAGTCAATCAAATCCGGATTACCTAATGCATCGTTATTAAGTTCGCACATTTTAATGTTGGACAAGTCTATTGAAATAGCTTTTCAGTTGGATATTGCGAAGGTATTTGCAATCTTATATACTGTTAGTATCACCCATTCAATTTATATCTAAAGTCAGCAGCGCGAGTATAGGATTTGTTTATTATTTTAATGGCAACCTGGGCAAATGATGAATTTGTGCCACCCCTATCCAAAAATTATGAGCTCAAAATACTCACAATTGCAAGTTCATTTCTCGTTCATATCGTTCAGAAATTATAGCAATGTATTGCATTTTTTTTAACGCATTTAATCCAGGAGTCGGTATTAAACCCAAAGCTTGTAAAGTCTAGGAGTTATCTAAGCGGGGGAGGAAAAGCGACCTTGTGGTGAAATTGATTGATTGATTTTATTTGTTAGATACTAGGCCTAAGTAAATTTGCATTAGATGAAAAAGACAAAATAGAAAGGAAATACCTTCATGCGATAACGCGTGAAAGCGAATCTTCAGAAAATCTCGTTGGAATATGAATAGAATTACATTGATTTGTGGACAACTTACTCAAGTTTGATACTCATGTCAGTCTGAAAAATCTATAAATTGGCACATTCTGTTAAAGTGTTTCTAATACAAAAGAATCCTAACGGGATAGGCTTCTTTTATTATAAATTAAAGTCATGCAAAATTTGCATTTTCACCATTCGAAACGCGATTTCTTCAGCGTTAATACATGGGGAAAAATTTGAAAATAAAAAAATGCTATTCTATTCAATTCTTCGTTTATATATTCTAGCAATATAATAAGGACGAGCATTTTCGAGAAATGCGGAACCAGCAAAATTTGAATAATTCCCAATTCTCGTTTCTTTTGTTCTTCCTTTTTTTAAACAAACAGAAGCTAAACTAGTCAAGATGATGATCAAAGTAGCTCTTGTGCTCTGTGCTATTGTGGCAACCAGTATGGTGTGCGCTAAGGATTTTGAAGAGCAAGATGCATTAGACACTTGTAAGTATATAAGTCAGCCAGGGACACCAATGCTTGAAAAGATTTGATCGCCCTTTCAAGAAAACTGTCATAAAATCCCTATAGCTATTGTCAGAAAAACTGTGAAATTAAGACATTTCGTTAACACATAATATTGTCGTACGATTCTCTTTTACTCGGGGGGGGGGGGGGGGCAGTAAGAATATAATTGGTACACATGACCACAGGTTTTCCATCCCCTCCCCAAAACAAGTTTTATCTACTCTTCAAAACTTACCCTTTCGAAATTTTTTCCCGAAGATTTCCCCACTATACGTACCTCTTAAAGGTATTATGTCCAATTTGCAGGCCAAAACATGAAAAGGTTAATGTTTCCAACGGCATTTGAAAGATAATATTAATTTAGAACTTCCCTCGAAACGAAAGGTGCTTGAAAATTTTTTTTAGTGGGAAAATAACGAGCATTAGTAGTCGAATCGACTTTAGTGATTGCAATCATTTTAGTTATAGTCTGATTTTCAGACCCTTGTACCGAATGGACGTACGTTTTGTGCTGTGCAAAGGTTCAATCAGTTTAATTGTGGCCATTACAAGAAGTGGGTTATTGATGTAGACAAATTTTCATGTACCTTTACAGCTCATTTTATGTATGTTATTACCAAAGAAAAAAAGAGAAGTCAATCAGTCACTCAATAGTGTCTGACAGTAAAATCTAGAAAATAAACGGGTTCCCTTGCATAATTTGAATAATATGACACTGCTAACGTTTACATCTCACAGATAAGACATACGTGACATATTCATAGTTTCTGCAAAGTTCTTCATAATTTGATGTTGATTGCAAATGGGACATAGGCCTAGTACCTTTAAGAAGATATTATTAACCCCTTAAAAATTGCTTTAAACAACTATTATTGATATTGACAGCACGATGTCTAGGCAAGGGTACTCTAAATGCGTTTCAACAAACACAACATACTTTCCTTCACCCCCCCCCCCCCCTCATTTTTGCCTATTTGACTCCCTAAATGCGTTACTCGCCTTAACCAGCCGAAACTGTTTTGGTCGCGAATGTGTCTACAGCAATATATATTTGCTTTATTTTCATTAAATCTCGTTTCTATGGCAACCATGCAGTGCTGAATATGATGCTCTCAGAGGAGGTTGCATCTCCTGATGACGCTGTAGCCTTGCAAGGCTGGGGCAGCAAATTTAAGAAGGCGTTTCATAAAGTCAGTCATGCAGTTAAGAAAGTCGCCCACGTTGGACAGCGTGTGTGCAGCGGGGTCGGTCTTTCTCCAGAAGAAGCTCGTAAGTATAGCCACAGAAATATAATTATGAAAAAAAAAAAAATAATAACAGTAACAATAATGGCAATGATGATAATGATGATGGTAATTAATAATAATATTTCGGAAATAATAATCAATATTAGCATCATGATCATCAGTAATGATGATATCATCATTTTTTCATCATCATTATTTTTACTTGAAATAATTCAAACGTTCGGATCAAGTTTAATGTGTATATAATCCAACATATCCAATATTTTGAAGTACAGGGCCCTGTCTTACAAAGAGTTGATATTATCAATCGCAACTATGTACATAAGAGATAGGAGACTGCAAACTTGCGATTGATTGGAGGACTTGCGATTGATTTGGATCAATCGCAAGATCGCAACTCTTTGTAAGATGGGGCCCTTAACTCATTAGACGGAAACAAGGACATTTGTTGTTAAAGATAATTGTCACATTGTATGTAGAATGCTTAATATTACGTTTTTAAGCTCATTACATTGTGATTACCACAGTATTATCTCGTTCGCTGGATTCCATTGCTACTCCGCACGTAATATTGTACATGTTCCACTCCCCGGGGAGTACACATATTCCTGACACTGACAGGCACAATTTTATAAGCGCGTATGTGCTAATCCAGGGGTCGGACTTAAATTATGGACATCCATGTGTCCCGGAGTCTGTTAGTGTCGAACCCTTTCTAAGCCAGCCAAATTAAAGCTCGCATTCTTAGAAGTAATTGATGTTTATTTCATTCATCATAATTTTTTTATAAAAAACATATCAAATACAAAACAGTGTAGGACTACAAGTTAATATAACAACAACAAAAATGTCATATGAATGTGGAGACAGCTGGGAAAGCCCAAGGGGTTTATTGTGCTGCCATCGAAACATCCTACCACGTACCCATTTCAATCCTGGGTGGGGAGAAACAATGAAAATAAAATGCCTTGCTTAGGGACATATATATAGTAAGTGCCTTAACGGCTATTGAACTCACAACCTAAGATTCTCCAGCGAGTGTTTTAAGCCCCCCCCCCCCCCCTAAAAAGAGCGATAAGGCCCTTTTATTTCTTCTCAAAATTGCCGCCCGGCACATTTTCCAAGACATCCGACCGGGCTTTTTTTCATGATGGCCGCTAGCTTTTATGTTTATTTTTTCCCGAAAAAACATACTTTTAACAGTATATTTTTTCGTTTTTTTTCTTTAAAAAAAACAACAAAACAAAATAAAACAGGCGGCCTCAACAACAAAAAAGAATGGGTGGCGCGGGGACGCTAAACCTGATTTTTGTGTGTGTGAATATTTTTTCTAACCAGTCCCCCCTCCTTGTTTCATCATATTTTCAAATTTCATGTACATCTTAGGCGTTAAAATTCTGACTGCGTTCCCAGAGATGAAAGAAGAGGATCTCAGCGAAGAGAGTGTTGCAGCATACTGCGCTGGTGCACATGCCTTTGGCCGTTAGACTCGGTACGTATTTTTAAAACAATATTAACATGAAACAATATTATTATACTGATGAGCACTAATATTTTGTTTTGCCCTCGAAAATGGCACCCTGCCCCCCCTTGAGCACCAGGGGAGGGTTTGTCTCCAAATAACGGTAACATTAACGTGTTTTTACATATTTTTTTCCCAGGGGAGGGGACCCGGCCCTCCGGATCCGCAATGGGGGGGGGGGGGGGTAGGTGGCAAGCCTGGGAAAATCAAAACTATAAACAATCCACCACTTATAAACCTTTTACATGTATTTTGCTTTAACAATTTAAATACATGTCAAGTCTCAAGTAAGCAATGTTTGGGAATTTTAATATTGTTTGCCTATACTTACATTCTTACTTTGACATTAAAAAAGATACTTCTCTCAGTTTGGATGTTCCAGCAGTATCAGTTTTAGAATTGTTGATGATTGCAATTGATCAATAGTGATAAATATGGAGTCATTAACAGAATTATCTTCTAATTAAATACAATATACATGAGTTTGTATTGGTCTATAATGCTTCTTTCTTCTCACCGTGCCCCCTCTCCCTTTCTCTCGTTCCCTCTCCCTTTCCCATTCTTTCTCTGTCTCCCTTTCCTCCCTCTGTCCCCTCCCCCTCTCTCACCCCTTTTCTCTGTCTCCCTTTTTCCCACTCTTTCTCCCCTTTTCTCTGTCTCCCTTTCTCCTCCTTTCTCCCGTCTTTCTCTGATTCCCTTTTCTCCACAACTCCTCATTATGTTTTAAACAAAATATATTGTCTTCATTTATTTCTCATATAGGAAGGGATCGTGATACAACATTTGGAACGCTTGATGTTGATTCTTCCTCGAGAAAAAATGAAATATAAGCAAGAAATTGTCAACTTCCATCATGTTTTTGCAATTTCCTTATATTAATTAGAATCTTCTTTATCACTCCTGTATTGTTCAAATCCTTAAACCTTGGTTTCCTTCTAAAATCGTGAGTGAGTGGTTTTCATTATCAATACATATTTTGCCTTTACCTCCATGTATCCATTCATTATACATCTTTCCACGGTGTTTACAAATATGTAGGGTTAAAAGTACACCAACCTTTAAAATCTAGCATAATACTACATCTTTTCATCAAAAGCTTGAAATTAAAAACGTTCTCTCTGTCTTGCTCTTTTTTTTCCTAAAGAAAAGTAACAACAACAAGACATTGTAAGCATGGTATAAGGGAAATAACTAATAGTATTGGTAATAATGCTGATAATAAAATCACATGAACTTGCATACCATATAGCTAGCGTGTTTGTTTTGGACATTTTGTTATATGATATAAAGCCAGTAGGGTATGATTAATAAAATATTGTTGGTATGCAGAGAAAATACGAAAAACAACAACACTTTGATGAGAAAAAGTGAGAGAGGCAAAAATAAAACAAAGTGAAAAGGCTGAATAGAAGAATGAAGAGAGAAAGAGAAGAAGAGGGAGCACGGGAGAGCAGAGAGAGGAGAGATAAAGAAAGAGAAAGTGAGAGAGAGAGGAGGGGGGGGGGAGGGAGGCAAGGAAAGCGGACAAAAAGAGAAAGAGGAGTGATAACAGAAGAGACAACTAAAGGCAGAAACGGAAAGAATGAAAGAGAGAGAGAGAAAGATGGAGTGACAAAGGAGATGCGAGAAATATGCACTTGAGGAGCATTTGAGATGGGGAGAAGAGAGAGAAGAGCAGAAAGGTCGGTTTATCTTACTTTAAACCTATGACTAGGACGGTCTTTGTATATGCTAAAGGCACTGGCAGTGCCTTAAAAGGACGCCACACGTAGTAGTCCACTATGTCAACGTGCAAATCTAAAAGTCCATATTGCCTCCGCCGCGGTTACTTCGTTGCGGAGGCATTCAAGCAAAATTTTACAAAAACAAAACAAACAAAATCTCACACTGCGATAAATCCGTATGAATGGAATATATAGAAAGAGCACTCGATCTGAATATATCATCTGCCGATACTTTTGTCTCTTCGATACAGACAGCCTCATTCCCTGTGCTGCCCTCAGGAGGTGGTTTTGACTCACTCTGATCACAAACACATCTTCTGTGTTTGTGTTGTTTGATATCATACCCTGTAATTAATATTGAATTAATGATATGCATTAGGGCAAACAAAAAATAATGTATTACTCGTCAGGTCTTTCTTTAAAAATCAGTGAGGGAGGCCTTTACTGTTATTGTTTTTATTTTTTTAAATATTTTTGTCAAGATGGCCGCCATTTATAGACAAAGCTTTTTGATCATATAGTATATGTATGTATAGTAGATGATATTTTATCACATAACTTTGTCTTCGATTTGTCAAATCAGAAACAAAAATCAGAAATTGAATGATTTTCTCTCTCTTTCACAGTCCACAAACAAGCACTAAATACTAAAGTGCAAACAGTTAGTGCTTGCCTGTGGTCAATGACTATGTACTACATGTACAAACAAAACACAGTGGCACAGCCGTAAATGATTGTTCTTTAATCAATGAGCAACGTTTAAACTACCGAGTACTAGGATAGAGATGTTAAAAATATCTACAGTGCAAGATGTCAAAATTAGTTGTCAATGACTATGGGACCTCAACATTCAACTACAGTAGCATAGCTACCTCACATTCGACGCCTTCTGATGACGGCTTAAAAAGATTGCTATTAAAAAAGCTTGGTTTGGGCTACAGCACTGAGAAAAATGTCATGGTTTTACAAGTTTTAGTCTCACACTCTTTTAAATACTGACATGAGGAAAGTTAAACATTCTCGCAATAATACGTGCAGATCTGTATTAAAACTCTTAGTACCTGTTAGTTTTCAGTGGTCTAGGACATATCCGTTTAAAGGCGTAGCCGTGCACTGGTCAACCACATATAATTATATTGTGTAAAATATGTATCAAGCAAACCTGAGTAAATTTAAAAATCCTTTCCTCATAAGCAAGTTTGAAACTATTTTTGGGGTTTGGGTTTTCCTGCATGTTCATAGAACTGTTCCCATGTTTAAGGGGATGTAGGGTGTTTCCCCCTTATTTATAAGAAAAAATACATTAATAAGATAAAATAAAGAAGCATCAAAGCAATTATAATATAAGTCCATGCACAGCTCTTTTCTTTTTCTAAATAAGGTGTAAAAACTACGTACTTCTGCACATTTAGATTTTACAAGCACACATTTCTATACCTGATGTAACTTCAAACTGGTTCTATGACATGAAGATACATGGGTAGGGGTGGGGGCAGGGGGCACAGTGCCCCCACTCTTTCGAGTACCCCAAAAGTGCCCCTTTTTACATAGGAAAATTGCCCCTTTAACTTTGTAAGAAGTCCCCTTTTTAACATAAGAAAAGTACCCCTTTTACTTTGACAAATGCCCCTTTAATTTGTAAAAGTGCCCTTCCCCTTTTCACCTCTAGTAAGTGCCCCTTTTATTTTGACACATACCCCTTTCATTTCGACAAATTTCCATTTACCATTGCAATAAGTATCCATTTTCCATTCTCATAAGTGCCTTTGTTAATCTCTAGTAAGTGCCCCTTTTCAGGTACGAGAAGTGTCCCTTTTCACTTTTGATAAATGCACCCTTCACGTCTGATAATTGCCCTAATATAATCTGAGAGGTGCCCCTTTCCTTTGTAAGAATTTCCTATGCCTTTGTTAATAACTACCCCTTTTTAACTCGGATAAGCACACCTTATACTTTCTCATGTGCCCCCTTTCCTTTCTAACAGAAAGAGGAACAGGAAAAGGAAGGAGAGTTATGGACTCTACATCTACAAAGTCCGCAAGCAGGTTCATCCAGATACCGGCATCTCCAGTCGGGCCATGGTCATCATGAACAGCTTCGTCAACGACATCTTCGAGCTTATATTTTCTCATGTGCCCCTTTTTCTGTTGATGAGTGCCTTCATTTGAAACAAGAGACCAGTTCCCCTTTTCACAAATGCCCCTTTTCACCTATGAAAAAAAGTGTCTATTTTCATTCTCATAAGAGCCCCTTTTCATTTCTGTTTCTGGTAAATGACCCTTTGCAGGTACGTGAAGTTACTCGGATACTCGTTTTACTTTGAGAATTGCCCCACCCCCTGATAAGTGCTCTTTTCATCTTTAATGAGCGTCCCTTTTCATCTTAATTAACTGCCCCTTTTATTTTGACACATGCCCCTATTCCTTCCTAATAAACGCCCCTTTTCCTTCTTATAAGTGCCCCTTCCCCTTCTCATAATTACCCCTTTTGATCTATGATAAGTGCCCCGTTTATTTTAACAAGTGCCTCTTCTCATAAAAGCACCCTTTCACCTCCGATAAATTCCCCTATTAAAATCTGATCGGTGCCTCTTTTCTTTCAACAAATTGCACATTTTTCTTTATTATAAGTGCCCCTTTTCATTCTCATGAGTGCCCCTTTTCATATCTGGTAAGTGCCCCATTTCACCTCTGATAATGACCCTTTTAACAATGATACGTGCCCCTTTTCCATTCTAATAAGGGACCTATCCCATTTTCGCCTCTTATAAATGCCCATGTAAAAATCTGATGGTTGCCCCTCTTCCGTCGACAAACGCCCATTTCTCATTCTCATAAGTACCCCTTTTCATCCCTATTGAGTGCCTCTTTTTTAGGTGTAAGAAGTGACACATTTTCACCTCTTTGAGACCTGCTCCTTTTCTATTCTAATAAGTGTTTTATCCCTTTCGATGAGTGTCCCCCTTTTTTTCATCATTAAAAGTGCTCCTAATGTCAAGCGACTAGAAGCAATTTCCCCCAGAGCTCGTTCGCTACGCTCGCTAGCATTTATAGATAATATAATTATGTTACTTATCAAAGGTCTTTCCAGTCTTCCGTTATGAGAATGTGCTTATATCCCCATCAGGATTGTTTTTTCCTCTTTATAACTTTTTAATTTTCGTACTGCGACCTCACAAATCTTTACATTTTTCAGACCATCTCACCCAACTGCAAAGTATGATGCTTAAGTAATATCTTATATCACGTTTATATAAAAAGAAATATTGAAATCATCCCTAATGATGTTACCACAATATAGGGGTATATACCAATGTCTACAAAATTGTTTATTTTCACTTCGAGATTTCCCTTTGTAGGTGCCCTTTTATCTGGAAAGTGCCCCTTTTTACTTTGAAATTCGCTCCATCGTCCCTGCATGGCAACCAATATCTGTATAAACACTCATAAAATTCAAAAGATTTGGAAAACCGATAATCATTAATTCATAAACTTACGAAAATACAGTACACGAGGAAATCTCGTTTTGAGCAGGCAGGACATTATGTGCTTGCACAGAACCATTGACATCTTGAGGTCGCAAATCAAATTATAAGAATACTTTTTAAAATTTCCAGGAAAACTTACCAAACTTTCACCTACCAACTTTCTTGTGTAATTCTCAATAATGGCATCAACCTGAAGTTGTAAACAATATTACAATAATAATTCATTTTATAAGACGGGGCCCAGTTCTGTTTAAAATAAATTCTAATTTCTTCAAAAAAATTATGTTTCAATGCATTTAAATTTTTATTACGTATTCTGAACTGAATGAAATGAAATAAATATTAAAAACCAAATACATTCCTTGAATAAGTCTTTTACTTATGAAGCTTAAAATATATATATAGGGTGCATTGAGATCAAAACACATCAAAAACCAAGAGCAAACAGTCCAAAGACTGACACCTGTCTTGGCTACAAAGTAAAATTTAAATCAAATATACATAATAATCTCGTCGTATTATGAATAGCGACTCTGATTTCATATTATGAATAGCGGTCCTTATGATTAATGACCCTTCATGTGAATTATGAATAGCGACCCTCATCTCCCGTTATGAATAGCGGTCCTTATGATTAACGAACCTTATTTCTTTATGAATAGTGACCCTCTTTTTCCATTATGAATAGCGGACCAGGAAGTACGGGAATTTACACGGTATGAATAGCTTTCCTTATGAATAGCGGACCTTATGAATAGCGGTCCTTATGAATAGCGAATAGACCCCATTTCAATAGTTGTGGGACAAGTCTATTGAAATGGTTTCTCAGTTTTATTTTGCGAAGGTATTTGCAATCTTATATACTGTTAGCATCACCCATCTATCTGTCTCTAAAGTCAGCGGCGTGAGTATAAATTTCGTTTTTTATGGCACCCTGGGAAAATAATAAATTTGCGTCACCCCTGTTCAAACGTATGAGCTCAAAATACAAACAAGCTTACTTCTCATTCACATCATTCAGAAATTATAGCAATG